TGGTTTCATGGAAATAATGCAAGAGAATTGCAGAAAATCTGCTAGGTGCATACCTTAGTGGTTTACAAAGAGCCCGTACTTGCTCTTGAAGTCAACTGAAGTTTTGCCATTGACTTCTATGGAGCAAGATTGGGCTCCAATTGTGCCATTATCCCCTCCCTACACATTATGTGGCAAATTAAGAGCTGGTGCCAGGGGAGCTAACCCATAAACAGGCTATGCAGCTGCAATGCAGCCCCTCTGTGGCAGTTATCGACTGTAAGAGCAAATGCTGCATCTCTTCTGCTGAGGTTTGGAGTTACTGCTGTGACGGCTTACCCCTGGGGTGCCACTTGGAACTGAGGTACCACTGAGCCCACCTGACCCACCAGCCTGGGCTCCCTTTACACTGTACTGCTGAGGCAAGCCAGCCAAGCCCTTTCCCAGGCTTCAGACTACACTTTACCAGCACACATACAGGTAGGGACACACCCAGCTGCTGCTACACAAACAGATGCTGAGATCAGCTCTGCATGGAAAGGCTCAGCTAAGGAACTGCCCAGTTACTCAAGTGCACACCCCCACTGCTGGAGTCTAAATCCAACATTATACTGTCTTGCGCTGCAAAGAGAATTGTACAGCATGAGCTCATGAGATTCGCCCCCTCCCTCAATGTGGAGAGGAATCAGGGCTGGCTCCAGGCACCAGCCCAGCAAGCAGGTGCTTGGGGCGGCCAAGGGTAAGGGGCAGCACGTTGGGCTTGAATCCCTTGGTCCCTCTTGGAGGGAAGGACCTGCTGCCAAATTGCCACTGAAGAAGAAAGCGGTGCGGTGGAGCTGCCACCGATCGCGGCTTTTTTTTTTCGCCGCTTGGGGCGGCAAAAACCCTGGAGCCGGCCCTGAGAGGAAATAAAATAAAAATAAATTAATGGAGATATTCTATATCCTAGAACTGGAAAGGACCTCGAAAGGTCATAGAGTCCAGCCCCCTGCCTTCACTAGCAGGACTAAGTACTGATTTTGCCCCAGATCCCTAAGTGGCCCCCTAAAGGATTGAACTCACAACCCTGGGTTTAGCAGGCCAATGCTCAAACAACTGAGCTACACAGCATTCTGCACCCCAGTTATGATTTCCACACACTGGTTTTAGACAAAACAAAAACAAGTTTATTAACTACAAAAGATAGATTTTAAGTGATTATAAGGGATAGCAAACAAATCAAAGCAGATTACCTAGCAAATACAACAAAAGCAATCTAAGCTTAATATACTAAAGAAATTGGACATAAGGAGCAAAATCTCACCCTAAATGTTGTTTTAGGCAGGTTGCAGACATTCTTGAGGGCAAGCTACACTTGCTTGCAGCTTAAAACTCCTTTCACAGGCTAGGAAACTCTCTAGCCTGGGTTCAGCCCTTCTCCCCCCAGTTCAGTCTTTTTTTCTTAGATGTTTACAGCAGTAATCTCAGGTGGGGAGTCAGTGAAGAATGACTCATAACCACGTTACTCCCTTGCCTTAAATAGCTTTAGCATATGGCGGGAACCCTTTGTCATCCAGTTTGATTCCCATGCCTGGTCAGTGGAAAAACACTAGTATTATGATGGAGTCCAGGTGACTTGGTCACATGCCTCTGTAGGGCCATAGCAGCCATGAGAAAGAGGCTGTTTGTAACGTCCTCAGGAAGGCTTCCCAGGAAGGCTCCCCAGTGGGAGATTAGCATCTTCAAAGTCCTATTGTTTTCCCTAAATCACTGCTTCCCAGGATAGAGTCCTCCATCCTGTAAGTATGGCCTACAGTCTTTGTTCCTAGATGTATGGCTTTACATTTGGCCACATTAAAACACGTATTGTTTGCTTGTGTCCTGCTTACTAAGCCATCCAGGACGTTCTGTAGCAGTGACTTGTCCTCTTCATTATTTACCACTTGTGCAAATTAGGTGTTATCTGCAAACTGTAGCAGTGATGATTTGATGTTTTCTTCCAGGTCATTGATAAAAACATTAAACATGAGCCCAAGAACTGATCGCAGCAGAACATCACTAGGAACACACCCAATCGATAAGTGCCCATTTACAATTACATTGAGATGTACCAATTAGCCAATTTTTAGTTCATTTAATGTGTGCCGTTTTGACTTTGTATCGTTCAGTTTCTTCATCAAAATGTGCAGTACAAAGTTTATTACAAAAACACTAGTAAGCTTGTTTAATAAAAGTATGTAATCAAAACAGATTAAGTCAATTCCATTATTTTGCCCCAGATTGATGTCAGGCTGATAGGCCTATAATTACCCATGTTGTCTCATTTGCTTTTTTAAAATATTGGCACATTAGCTTTCTTCCTTTCCTTTGGAACTTCCCCTGTGTTCTCAGACTCATTGAAAATAAACATTAATAGTCCAAAAGCTCCTTGGCCAGCTCTTTTAAACTCTTAGATGTAAATTATCTGGACGTGCTGATTTAAAAATGTCTAGCTTTAGCAGCTGTAGCTGAGAGAGAGGTGCACATATGGAATCACGAGAGTCAGGTCCCTTCCTCTGAGAAAGAGAACTTTGTATAAAAAAAGATTCTTAAAACTGCCCTTTGGTAGAGAAAATATTGAGTAATTATTTGAAGTAATTATTAAATGGATGACCTTATCTTGAAAAAGAGGCTTGGTACATTATTAAGCAACTAAAGGGACATCAACTTGATGTCTAGTTAACATCAGAACAAGTTAGTAGTAGTTGCAGGAACTTTTTATTTTGTGGGTTCACAATCACATTTTCCTGATATAAAAAAAGTTTCTCTCGCCGTTATTGTGTCTGAAAGACCCACACAAATGAGGAAAACTGATAGGGAAACAGTGAACCTGGCTAAACACAACATACCATGAAATACACAAAGTAAACAAATTGAGAAAACAGAATTTTTTCTCTAACCTCTCCTATATAGTAATCTCACTGTGGGCATGACATTTTCAGATAGCATTTCCATTAGGTATCATGGGGGATTGTGGTGGTTATAATTAGCAGTAAAAAACCAACAATACTGTTTCCCATTGTTCATGCTGTGGCTATCTCACAATCACCACAACAGAGAGAGGTCTTGTGGCTATTAAACAAAGCTGTTTAGCTCAGACATGCTTGGTCTACCTCCGTTTGTCTTTTAGGCTGACTAGTCCATAGCTGCTTTCCAACATATGGCCAAATCATGCTCTCAAAACATCCCATTGAAGGCCAATGAGCCACATTTTGTCTGACGATGAAGGAGTTTTCTGCCATGGGATGTCCATGGTTTCCAGTGAGGTGAGAGAGGCTGGTCATGGCCTGAGGAGAGACACCACCTGCACTATCATCCCCCTCCAAACCTTCACTGACATCCGCACGTAAATTAATCCTGCCAATCACTTTCCCTTCTTGCACACTGAAGTCCTCCTCACTTAGGGAGATTTGGAAGCATGGACAGGAGGTGAATCAAAAGGAGCATAGCTTGTGAAGCAACCCTGCTTTCATGGACAAGGGAGCTTCTCCTATCACACAATGAATTCCTCAGCCTCTGTTGATACTCCAAGATACACAGATTGTCCTGGAGATTCTTGGACATCTGTGAATACAAAGGTAATGCCTGCTATGAAGGGTGAACAAATCCCCTTTCCCTCTACTGGGATGGTGCAAAGCAATCCCCACAAGGTGAAATTCAGATTCATGGCCTTTCTGTAGCTTTCTTGTACATAGGGAGGCGGGGGGTAGACCATGCCCTAACTTAAAAAAAAATTCTTGAATTTTTGTTTTTAAAAAATTATCTAGCCTAATCTGAGCACAGTGTTGGTCTGTATGTATGACAGGGTCTTTGGGGGAGCAAGGGTGGGGGTCAAAACTCTAGGAAATTTATGAATGCACTCTTTGTCCAGTAGTAAAAATGAATGCAGCATCTTTGTAAAATGGGTCATTTTAATTCCACCATACTGTAGCTGTCCTTTAGAAGTTTGCATAGCAGTTTCAGCTGAGCTGCATGGTTCACATAAATTAATCTACTCTTTAGAACGTTTAACCAACCAATTAGATTACTATCTCAATCTAAGCATATTTAAATTATAGCTTAAAACTTTCCTCCTTATATAATCACTAATCTTATTTATCACACAGCGTACAGTTAAACAAGAGGTACTGTAGCAGCAGCCCCGGTGCTCAGTTATTAGAGGCGGCATTCTTCTCTTCTTTTGTGTTGCTCTCCAGGTTCCCATCTTTTCCCCCCCAGCCTTTCACAATTTGCTCATTTCCTGATATCTCTCTTAAAGTCCGGTTCCTGTGTTCCTGCAGATACCAATTTTCTTCTCAAAATTAGAGGTCTGCCTCTGTAAACTCACACTCCCTTGCCTTTAAGCCCAGTTTTCCAACGAAAGTGGGTTAGTGATACTTTTCAGCACGTTAACAAACTTGGATAATTTTGTTAGCTATTTTTTGTTAATATTCTGTGATTTGTTTTTAAACTGTATTTGCATCTCTGTATCATCTTTGCTACTGTCTCCTATAACAATGCTATCTAAAAGGTAGATTTCCAGATTATTGCTATCAATGTAATTATGTGGTTATTGTTCCCAACTTTAAAAGCACAATACAATTCATTTGCCACTACTAAAATATAAATGAGCTAAAGTATTCATATGTACTTCATACAGAACCACACACAAAACAAATGGGGAAGAGCAGCTGTATGAAGACAAAGATAAAAAGGATTCTTTGCTATTGGACTGCCCTATTAACTTAGGGTCCAATCTGACTCCAACTGACTTCATTATAGGAGTAAGATCAGGCACTTTATGTGGGCCTGTAAGTCTGTGTGTTGATGGACGCTGGCGCCTACGCAGAAACTGAAGTCAGTGGCATTCTCCATCTGAACAGGGCTCATCCATACCAACTTGCAGCATTGGATCTTTATTTTGTAAAAGTTAATAATAGCAGGAAGATGTGTGTGGGGTAGAGATGGAGGGGTGGAATCAGATTTTAAAATGTATTCTTTCAAATAGTATCTAGGACTAAAAATTTTAAAGCAAACAAGATAAATTTAATTTAATTGAAATGTTTCCCCCCAAAACAGGAACTTAAATACAAATATATTCATTAAAAATACTGCTTTCCCACCTCCCCCTTTGCAATATATTAACATCACTTTTGATAGCGGTCTTTTTTTGTTCAAATACAAAAATTCTTCACAGGGAAATTAGAAAAATAATGTTCTGTACACTACAGGTGCTGGGGCTTTGGAATTCCAGATGTAATAATCGGAGGAAATCAATTCCCGGGCTAAAAAAGATAGACAAAATAAACATTAAATGGTATCTTGCATTAAGATATTACTTTATTCAATTTAAGAAAATATTGATCCATTCTTACTAATTGACAGAAAAAATGTAATGGTCTCTTTACATTGTAATACCCAAATTATTATTTGAAAATTGTTTCTGAAGAGGAGATATTTAAAGTCTCAGCTTCAATTACCTCTACTAATACATTGGTCACAAGCTAATAATTCAAACAGAGGTTAACTCAAATTCAGGTGTATGGTTTGGATTTTGTTTAATAAATATAAACTGCGTATTCAACATAAATATATATGGTATAACAATTAAGTGCTGTGATGAATGGTTTGGCACCACTAGAGTTCTCATGAGGAATTTCTGGGCTTCTGCTGAGGTACTTGGAAGAAATTACAAAATAAAGCAGCAGCAAATAAAACAGTGACTTTATTAGTCACCGCTGTCTGCTCACATTTAATGAGTGTCTAATATTTGCCCAACAGTGGTACTTTTTTGGTGAAGACTCAAGAATCTTAAGTGTTCAAACACATCGGAGAAAGAATGGCCCACTGTTAATTGGGGATGACAGCACTTTCCTACATCACAGGCGTGCAGCGAGGATAAATATATTAAAGAATATTAAAGACTGTGAGGCACTCAGATACTTTGAAATGGTGGCCATATAAATATTTAAAATACAGAGATTATCCACTTATGCCATGTGCACATTGTTCCTTCTATAACCCTTTTTTATTAGGTACATGTTATAAGAGAGTCTTAAAACAGACATAATTTAGATTGGAGCTAGAATACAGTAGCTATTCTACATGGAGTTCATAATTCAGTTTCCAAGTGTAGTTCATAATGGTGTATCTTGTCAAAAAGACTGCACTATTTACTGTAAGAGCGGGTATGATATTTCTAGTTACCATGTCACAAAATTTTTACATTCTTGTCGGGCTCAGTCACATCATTTGATTAAAAAGGTACATTAAAAAAATAAAGAGTTGAGAGAAGTTTTTGGCTTTAGTGACTTTTACACTGAAATTCACTAACTTTGAAAATCGTATTTAATAAAATCAACAAAAAATAATCTAATTTTAAAACTCAGCCAGTTATTTGTACTTCACGACTCCACTTTACCGTTTCAACTAAATAATCAATAATTTTGAACTCACATGTACTTATTTTTGGTTTTCCTGATGAAAAGACCTGAACAGAATGCTGGTCTGCATAACATCCAGTAAGTGTGTAGTCTGGGATCCTAAAATAAAGCTACAAAAATATGGAGAAAACAATCAGATGCATATTTTTATTCTTACTTCAGAAATGCTGGCAATCTAAGTTATGTCACCCTTGGTGTGCAAAGATATAAAATTGATAGGAAAGAGCATCCTAGAGAAAATAGAGAACAAAGATATTGATTATGTGTGATGCAAATCAATGTAGTTTCATAGCCAATTTTAGTTATAGAAATAGAAATTAGAAATTAATGGAGATATCCCATCTCCTGGAACTGGAAGGGACCTTGAAAGGTCATCGAGTCCAGCCCCCTGCCTTCACTAGCAGAACCAAGTACTGATTTTGCCCCAGATCCCCAAGTGGTCCCTTCAAGGATTGAACTCACAACCCTGGGTTTAGCAGGCCAATGCTCAAAACACTGAGCTATTCCCGCCCCCACACACCCACTTTTTAGTTAATAAAAAGTGATTACTAATTCTCATACAGACTACAACTCACTTTTACATATGCAGTACTCCCACTGCAAATTGGATCAACTGGTTGTTCTTTGCTCATAGAACCAAAAGTCACAGTTCCAGTCAGAGAAATTTCTAATGATTTGGGAAACTTTTGTCCTAGAAACAAAAACAGCCTCAGTAAAAATGTAGATAAACAAATGTACACAAAAATGACTCTAGAAAAAAGAAAGATGTATTTTATTCAGCTTACCTATCACCCAAACCAATAAGCTTTTCTCTCGAGATACATCTAGCTGACCATAACTAACTTTGTACTCCAAATGAGTGACTGGACCCCTATTGTAGAAAAGGGAGTAAAATGTCATTGGAACGAACACCATACAACTATTTATTGACAGGTATTTTATTGAATAAAGCAACAAATGTATTAAAACAAATGCCACTATTTATGTGTACACAGACAAATCACACTGAACTGAACATACTGCTATCTTGTGGAAAGAAATTACAGCGTTTTAACGTATTAACTGCAGTAGAGCTTTTGGTGATTTTATTTCATTGACAGCATTTTACCACTGCTATGATCAATGTCAGCAGCTTTGTAGAATATAATGATAATTATATGACAATATACTCATAGCAATTGTCAGATAGGCTTAATAAAATTGTAGTTAATTTTAAATAACTATATTTGGATAAGCTGATTTCTGACTACGATTAGAAGTCTCTACAACTGGGAGATCCTGGTTCGGAAGCAACCTCAAGACTTACTCCACCAGGTGGGTGGTGGCTGAATTTGGCACAAAGAATGGTAGAGGAAAATAGGATATTCAACAAAAGTGCTCCAAGTTATCCTTTCAGAGTAGCAGCATAAATCTGGTTGGAGAAAGCATCTGTCCTGACTGTTGGTACCACTGATAAAAAAATGAAGGCTTCCTGAATCAGGATCCAGGTGAATATCCTGAGTATCTCATTTGAGTTTGAGTACATTTTAGGTGATTTCTTAACTCTCAATGACAGCAGCCTTGGGCACAAGCTTGAGGGAGAACAAATCCTGATATGTTGATCCATGAGATCCCCATTCTAAGAAGACTATTAGGGAGGTGAAGAAAATTATTTAGGATTTCTTTACTCTTACCTGTTAAAGAAAGGTATACGAGCTTCACAATACTCAAAAGCATTTTTTACACTTTCATGAAGTTTTAAATTAACTGTTAATTTTAATTGCAATTCTTCTTCCTTCAGCTGGTAAAATCCCAAAATTGGTGGTACAGGTACCTGAAGAGAATACATTAAATTTTAGGAATAATTCAGCAATACCTTCAAGAAGTTAGTTATGCTCTTTAATTTATGTTGAGAACTGTATATTTTTAATGAACCTGCAAGCCAGGCTCCTCATGTCACTTATGCTACATAGATTTGTGGTGTGCCAGGAACAGTTCTTGGCACCTTATCTTTGCTCTACTGTGTCAGAGTAAAGTTTGCTAATCCCTGAGGACGCTCACTTAAACTTTCTCAAAAATATAGATTTTCTCCCACCTCCAAACCCACTTGAAAGAGTGGTAAGTTATATGCATCAGGGAATGTAGTTACCTGGGAAGTATAGTAGCACAAATTGAATAAGTCAGAAGGAGGAGTGAAAGGAAGTTTGTATGGCCCACTAAATGCAGAATCATCCATGACATCAACGCTACAGGAAGTAAGAATTGCAGAGTCAAGGGAAGTCACACAGGGATGCACCAGGATATCCTGGAGTGGAGAGCCATTGGCAGGAAGGTTCAAGCTGACAGTCACATTTGATGTAGCTCCTTCCAAATCACACTTGGAACACAAAATGTCAGGAAATTACTCAATAAAATTTCTAAAATCAGAACTAGACATTTGAAAATAAAACAAAAAATAAACGATCCCACTAAAGAATTTTAAATCCACTCGCATGTGAAGATTGACAGATATACTTTCAAACCCATGTCTTTTTCCCAATTTTTAACCTTCTGATATCCTAAGGAGTATTAACAGACTCTTTTATAGAACAGTCTTTTAATTAATAAGCACTCCTTGGCAAAAGATGCAAATGAACCAAGCACATGCAGTAACAGATACATTATTAAGAATTTGATAGACATATTCAATAATTGTATGTCCAATTAATTCAGTTATTCATACATCATCAGTTTAATAGATTCAAACATGCTATTAATGTCCACTGAGATACCATTTCAGCTTTCTCACACTGATGGCCTGCAGTGCTATCCACTGTCTAGTCACTTGGTGCGCCAGCTCAGCAGTATGTGATTACGCCAATACTTTCTTTTTATGGCTGGCTCTCTACTCTGCGAAGTGACCCAGAAACCTGCCCTACTGAGAGCAAGAATCTCTCCACCAAGATAATCCCCACTAGCACAACTGTGGGGGGAAAAACCCAGTCTTCAAGAGCAGTAGACTTTGGTCAGCTTCCCTATGAGATGAGCATGTTAACACTTATTGCTAATAATTAAATTACCATGATGCACTTTATCAGAATTTCTTTTCTCCTTATCAAACAATAGCAGCTAAAAAGTGGTTAGTTATAATAATGTCACACACTTCTCTAGCACAATTTATGACAAAGAAGAGGAACTTTAAATCATTTGATACAGCTACTGGATTCACTATTAAAGATACAAATATTAGCATGTTTCATAAAAAATATCATTAATCTACTTAACCAACATGCTTCCTCATTTTTACTAATAAAAATAAACACCTGAAACACACACAGAAGCTATTTAAAACAATCATAAAACTGTTTTCTTTCATAAGACTCTATGTCCTTAGATTTAGCAATATTAGGAATTACAGTATAAACAGCATGTGTGGATGCATGGTTTTGTTTTAATAGAAGAAAGCAAGATATAAAATTAAACTTTCATTTACTAGAAACCCACCAGGCAATTTTTAAAGTGCTAATGCAAAGACACTTGTAACATTCTCATTTAAGAATTTTGTTTTTGTTGATCATTACTAAACAAGACATTTATTAGATGGCTGGGGTAAATTTAGCACTATAATTGTTATTTCTCATTCCCTGTCCTTAAATGCAAACACTTACCATTTCATTTAAAATAATAAGAACATTGTAAAATACTTTGGAACTGGATGATGCTTGAGAGGAGTGTTGGTTTTATTTCCCATAAATAGCTAGTGAAAAAAAAGTGTGAAGAATGCAAGAAAATAACAGTAAAGCAACATTTTTATTCTGATTTAGCTCACTAATCTAATAAATATCCTCTGGTATACATTTAGGCATAAAAACTATTTAGTTCGATTGCCCCATGTGCCAAGGTAAAATGAACTGAATTTTTACTTTTCCTAGTGCGTTCATATGCTAAATAGGTCAGTCAGATTTGTACCAGAAATATCCTCACCTTACAAGTCACAGTTCCATAAACTTGCCACATATCTGCAACATCCCTTTTGTCATATTGCATGGACTTGACTTTTTCAGTGATACAAACATTAACCTGAGGTTTGCCTTTGTATGTGCTAATTCTCCAAACTGGTTGTTTCTGTGTGTGGTTTGTAGAAACATGAATGTTATCTAATAAGCCATTCAAGTTTGTATCTAATGGGGTGCCAAGTGGACAGGCCTGCATGAGCAAACTTGGAAGTTGGCCCACTTTTGCACTCATCTCAGCTTCATTCTTCTGACTGGAGTTAATGAAGACCAGCAATCCTGATAAGACAGCGAAGGCTTGTGAGATTCCACTAATGCTAATAAGGGGTGGGCGTGGCTTCAAGGATTGCTCAACTAGGGGAAGACAAACATATATCAAACCACTCTTCTGAAAGGCCAGGACAGGCCAAAGGTCCCCTCCTCCTGTTGGAAGCGCATACACTGAAGTCTTGTTGATTCGAGAACAGCTATCCCGATATTCCACAAAGTTCTTGTCTGGATCTGTCAGCTTAAGTTCAAAAAGTAATGCTTTAAGAAAAACACTGTCCTCTGGTACGGTCACATAGCTTACTCCATTGAAGGCTTTTGCTCGTTTTTCAACCGTGGGGTAACGCCTGTAATACAGAAACAGAAATTCATTAGCATTACTCATCTTACCCTGCCCATAAAACAAAACACACACACGTCCTGATATTTATTGTCTGAGCTATACTTTGTCTTTTCTAATTAGCTAAACGCAGAAATTCCGCTGCTGCTCTGAGAGGGAGTATTATAAAGAACTATGGAAGATAGATATAGTCAGGGTTGAGGTTCAGTCAAATATAAAAGCACAGACAGAACATTTGAAGGCCCTCATCCTGCAAATTATGCTGTGCTCACGGACCGCTATGACACCCCAATGAAACATGTGGGTGAATGGGTCTGCCCACCCGGAGCAACTTGCAAATTAGAGCCTAAATCATTGCTAATAATATAGAAGATTTTTAGCAACAAGTGGATTTTTATTGGAAAGTCTGAGCAAAAGTATTCACCCATTTTTGAATAAAGATATGTATCTTTTCTGTTATAAAAAGATGCAGACTATTTAAAATAAAAACAAGCATAAATAACACCTGTGCAACAGAACTTTAAAAGTTAAAACGTTCCAGGAAGCTAGATCTCAGTCACTGAAGACTAGTTTCCAGACAATTTTCCAGGAAAAATGAAAAATAAGTTTTGCATTTGTGCAATACAAAATTTCTGTTTTAGTGTTGTTATAATAATATTTATAAGACTACAGAAGAACATAAATACATAATATCAACGTTACTTACATACATGTAGTTTTGCATTGCTATTCCACTGTGGACTTTCATAATTCTGTAATTCCAAAACTGCACAGGCAAGAGCTTACATAATAAAATCTGTAGAATGGTGATTACTTAAATTAATCTAATATTAAGGTTAGACAGCAACTTTTACTTTAATATACAGAGGACTTTCAATAAAAAAAAAGTCCATTGTTTTCAACAGGAGTTGTATGGATTTATATGTGGGCAAAATTGGATTCTAAATTGTATGGACAGTGCATCTGAAGAAGTGAGGTTCTTACCCACGAAAGCTTATGCTCCCAATACTTCTGTTAGTTTTAAAGGTGCCACAGGACCCTCTATTGCCATGTACAGTATGTGTAATTTAAGACTACTGTAACAACTTACTGTCATATATGCATTTCTTGACTGTTTAAAAAGTTATAATCTTAATATTGCATTAAAAGATTTTATATATTTTAAAATTTCTATTTTATATCAATGTTCTTTGCATATTTTTCTCTGATTCTCTAGTGAGAATATTTGAGAGAAACCAAGCAGCTCTTTTATCCTCAAGCAGTATTAATTTATGTATTTGTTTTAGGAGGGGGAGGGAAATCCCTATTTTCTTCTTAGGCTAATTTATATCCACCAGGAACAATTGAGGATTTGACTTTTTAACAATTGACAAAAGAGGAAGAGTGTTGTCACTGTTTTTTTTTTTTTTTTTTTTTGGTTTCACTCCATCCCCTAATCATCCTGAAACGGATTCCTATTTGGGCCAAAAGTTTTTTGTGTGTGTGTTGTTCTCAGCCCCACGTAAAAGACCGCTTTAAGCAACAGGGGAGCAAAAGTTATTTTTATAGATTAAAACAGACTATTTACATGATTCTACAGAAATTAAAAAGATAGGATGATAGTCTCTCAGTCTTTTTGCACTTCATTTTATCTGTGCCTTCCATGTGTTCTTCTCCCTTTCTCCCTTTGATTCCTTGTTCCTCAGGTCATTGTTCTTTAGTTGGAGGGTTCTTCTCCCATTGGCTGGCAGACAGCTCCAGTCCCTTTTGGTTCCTCTCTTGGCAGAAGCCCTCATTGGAGGCAGCTATGCTGGCTTCTCCTGGTTGATTTCAGCTGTTTTTTACAAGCATCTAGGCCTTTGTAGTGAAGAGCCTGGATGCCTGGATAAGAAAGCATAACAAAAAGAGAAGCCAGAACTGTGTGATTTACATATGGGCCACAGGAAAAAGTTTGAGAATCATCTCTCCAAGTGGTCTCATATACATGATGAACAGTAAGGGGAATGGATCTGTTTCACAGCTTGAATTTTTCTCGGGACTTGTTAAACATAATTGAATAGGATGGGACCAAATTCTGCCTTGGAGATTACCTCTTGTTTTTGGCTGCTTTTTTGAAAATATGGGAAGAGGAAATGCTTGGAGTGTAAAGTTTTGCATCACTAATATCCCAGTCTTCTGCCAGCACACTTCATCTGCTTGAAGTTTGTCAGCAAGCCACAGTGATCTCATTCTATGCATGGGGAGTAGAGGCTTGGATTCAAAGCACTGATGGTGTTGACCATCAGATGATTATATTGCTTTACTGACTTGCTGGTCTCTCAGCCTTGTGGTTTTCCCTTCAAGGACATGCTGACAATTTCATGGATTTAAAAGTTTTCACTGGTGAATCAGCTGTGGTGGTGCACCTATCTTTATAAGATACTGTAGAGTGAATGCTCTGATCTTTGCCTGGATGTGGATGTGATCAGAAAAGAGAGTGGAATGTTTGTGATGTCTCCAATGTCCTCACTTACGCTGAACATCAGATCCAGCGTGCATCCAGCTGAGTGCATGAGTCTGGAGATGACTTTTCTGAAACCCAGGGTTTCTAAGCAAGATAGGAGACTGGATGTTAAGACATTCTTTGTATTATCTATGTTGAAGTTAAGGTCACTGATGATAATGAACTTGGGTATTCCAACACAACTATGCCACAGATTTATTAGTTCCCCTAGAAAACTGACAGGATCTTTGTCTGGACATCACTAGAAGTCTAAGATGCTCTTTGCCTCTTCCATGCAGTTAACTGGGAAACAAAGTGTTTTCATAGAAAGCAGTATAGTCTACTGAATAGGGTACTGGACTAGGATTCAGGAAACCCGAGATCTATTTCCTGGCTCTTCACCTCTCTCTCTCTGTTTACTCTCTCACCATTGTCCAGCTTGTCTGTTTAGACTGTAAGGTTTTCAGAGCAGGGACTGTTTCCTACTATGTGTTTGTACAATAGAGCCCCAATCTTGGCTGAGACCTCTAAGAACTACTCTAATACATATAAGAAGAGAAATTTCTAGGGTAAAGCAGTCTTCATCTGAGGTTGGAGGTGACTACTTTCTTTTTGTCTTGTTCTGGATTCTCTCTTGATTGTGTTGAATTGAGTATAAGATTGAAGCCTTCCACTTTTACTCGTTCTGCAGGCCCCACAATTTTTTCTTATCCTCAATACGTCTAGGTTCCCATCTTTCATTCTCTGGAGAACAACAATCCTCTAGAATCATACAGATTACTCTCAAACAGGCAGGAGACTTCCCACGAAAACACAACTGGCTTTTCTAGTCAGAAGCCTTTCTACTCTCTGTGCATTGAGTTCTAAAGGATTAAGAGTCCTAAATAAATAAATTCTTCTTGGAAAATGCCCCTTTAGTACCCAAAGAACTCTCTCTATATGAAGGTTACAATCAACTTGGGCAAAAAAAATCACACTTCTGTCTGAAAATACTTTAACTACTCTCCAGTTACAAATAGAAGAGTACTAAAACTCAAAGAAGTTATCAGAAATGTTTTTCTACATTTTCAGTTGTTTGCTTTGATCATTTGACAGCATTCTGTAGAGTCATCTTCATGGTTTTCTGTGTGCCACCAGACACTGTAGTTGGTTTTTCTCTTAATGAAAAGACCCTCATTAACATCAGAGGAACAAAACAAAAACCAAAACCACCACCACTATTTTTAAAAAGGAATTTAAATAGTACGGGTTATTTTACTGCTCTCTCAGAAATCGGAAATTTTAAAAAATATTTTCTAAAATTATAAAGAGACATTGTCAACTTGAAGTACAATATTAATAAAAAAATATTTAATTGGCATCATGCAGTTTAATCCCAGTATGGCAATTGGTTTTATTTGTTTATTTTTGGGAAGGGGTTGAAACGTTCCATATATCATCATTCAAGCTGTTATGAAAATACTGATGACCTTACAATGCCAATTGGTGATTTTTTTTGTAAGAGTTACTATTAAAAAATAAAGCAAATGCAATAAAATTATGACAAAAGAATAAGTAAGCAACCACAGTCCAGAAATATCGAATATCTTTTCACTAATGTAGTAATACCAAAATTTTACTGACATAACTGTATCCAATCACATCACTATATTTCATCTAGTTATCGGTATTCACTTTTTAACCCTGTCCTCATACTTACCAAGCTTTACTATGGCATTTGATCAGTCACATAAGTTGTTTAATGCTTTGTATACTCTTCTGCAATTAATACTAGTCTTTAAATAATGCAAAGAGTCCAACATAAAGAAAAATTCAGATCTGTTTCTCGCTCTATTGTACCGAATAATGGGTAATATAATGCAGATGTACTGAATTACCAAGCTTCGGGTTAAAGATGGAGTGGGAGTCTCAGTTTAGCACTTCATTGCTTTTGTCTGTTCAAGTCAGCCCCTTATCATTTGAGCAGTTATTTGAGTTTCCACGCATTACTGGAAAAAAGTACTGGCTCTCTCCCCAAAGGAAAATAGATTTTTTTTTAAATAAATCCTTATCTCTTTTTTAAATCTCAAATACTACTGGAAACAATTATTTCATTTGGTTATAATCCATGGACCCAGCCCTGCAACAAGCACTGCATGGGCAGACCCATGCACCAGCATGGAGCTCTAGTGAAATCAGTGAGGCCCCGTGAAGGCACAGGGGTCCATCCAGTCTGTACATATTAGCTTGTAGAACTAGGACCTAAATAACCTTTCAGCATTTCTCTCTTCCTTAAGTGAGGATGGATTTGCAGGGCAGTGCATATGTGTTAGTTATTCTCTAGAGAATGGATGATTTTGCTGTTTCAATGGGCTTGTCTTCACTAGAATATCATGTTAGATCATAACCTTGAGAAGTCATGATACACAATATAATGTTAGACAGGACTTTGCAATCAGTATAAACTGGGCTAAATCACATTTACTATTGAGCCACTGGTCATGGGCATCCCTATTAGGGCCATGATCAGTACACAGGACATTAAACACTATTTGTCCCCCTCTATGCTGACTGCAAAGTCATGTTCAACATTGTGACAGTTAACGTGCCTCTTCTAGGTCGTGTACCAACATGACCTGATTTTCTGATGAAGCAAAGACCAATGAGAGATATTTACTAGCCCTGTCAAGGTTCCCTGATGCAATGAGATTCACAGTGGTTAATATTATTGGGTCTATCATAATCTGGGAGAATCAATTTTAATAAAACCGTATTTAGAGTAAATCACTTGATGACCTGGCTTGATTTTAAAAATTTTTTTGTTTTGCCAGGTTTGCATGAGCCACCCTCACGCACACACTTTAAGCAGTAGAGACTGGGATTAACACAGACTCAGGCAGTGTTACCTGGAGAACAGCACGGCTCCACAGGCCCCTTGTTCGCAGCTGATTAGCCACAGTCCCCTCAGGGCCATCACAGACAGCTAGGAGGCCAGGGCCACTGCACTTCAGTTCATCATGCTGGACAGTTACCAGAGGTGCCTGGCATCCCAGGCCTACTGGCTGCTAAGGGCATTATTGAACAGTGACATTCCTGTCTGTCCCCCCCAAGTCCCTCCCCAGCCTGAAGCAGGCACACGTCCTCCCCCCTCTCAGCAACAGGCACCCCCACAAGCCACCCAAGCGACCACCCCCTTTGCTGGAAAATGCCCCCCCAAAATCAGCCTACCCCCCCAATCTCTCCGTCCCCTCCCCACCCAGACCAGGAACACCCTCTTCCTCTGCTCCCCAGTAAGAGCCTACGGCCCCAAACCCGGAGCCCTTCTCTGTCTCTGCCCAGCCCCCCAAATCAGAGCAGCCCCTTCCCCTGGCCTCTACCCAGCCACAGCCCCCCCAAATCAGAGCAGCCCCTCCCCCTGGCCTCTGCCCAGCCACAGCCCCCCCAAATCAGAGCAGCCCCCACCCCAAACCGGAGCGAGCCCAGCCGCAGCCCCCAAGCCAGAGCAGGCCCCGGGGCACCCGCGCCCCACCGCCGCTCTCTGCCCCGCGGAAGAACTGACTGAGGCGCCCCAGCCCCACCCGGCGATGGCGCAGCGCGAACGCGGGGGGGAGGGGGCGGGATGTTCCCGCCCTTCCGGGCGCTGCGCGCCGCGCGGGCTGCGGCTCCTCTGCGCAGGCCAGGCCCGTTTCCGGCGGGCGGGGGCGGTGCCGCGGCGCTGGCCTGTCAGGGGCACAATGGGCGGCGGCGGCGGCGGGGTGTGAGGGACGCGGCGAGGAGGAGCCGGGGGCAGCTGCTGCCGCAGACATGGCCGCCACTGCCGAGCTCTTCGAGGTGGGTCGGGGCGGCCCTGGGTGAGGGTGTATGTGTCCGTCCGTCCGTCCTGCCTCCCTTTGGGGCCTACGGCTGGAGGGGCAGCGGGGCCGGGGGATGTGGTGAGGCGCCACAGGCTGGCAGGCAGCGGTGCGGGAGGTCTCGCTGAGCTACACTTGGTGTCCGAGGTGAGGGGAAGCAGAGGCTCCAGGGGGTGGGATTTCCTCTCCCAGCGTTAGGATTTCCTCCCACGGGCGGCGGGTGCTAGACTAGCTGGCGGGGGCTGCAGCCCTCAGCAGAGGAGTGGGGGTGAAAGCCGGGACACTTGAGTTCCTGGGGGCTGGTTTCCTTCTGGGCTAGGCCCTGGGGTAGCTGGTTGCTGGAGGGCCGGAGATGTGCAATGTTGTGAGCTCAGCCTAAACTCAGTGTTGTCTTGGTTGTCAACAGTAAATTCTCCCGTCCGACTCTAAAGAGCAGGCGACTTTCAACTTCAGACACAGGTGCTGGAATGGGAAACAACAGGGGAATAAAAGCAGAACTGAGACGGGGTTGCTGTGCTGGGAGAAGAATAGATATGAAGGGATGGGAAAATGGATATAAAGGAAAAATAGTGGGGGCTGTGTTGGGTTAGGTGCAATGGGGCATGTAGCTGCTGGTTCCCCTCAATGACGGCTCCAACAAAGACATTCCTATTGTGTCTTGCTTTATACTGGATTGTAAACTGTTTGGGGCCAGGAATGGTCTCTTTGCTATTTGTTTGTATGGCACTTAGTCCTGTGGTCCAAGATTAGGGCTTCTAGGTGCTATAAATAATATAATTTTTCCATGGTGTGAGCACTGTTGTAGTAGAGAGATTTTGTTCTTATAAACCATCTCGATGCTGACTTGACTCCATGCAGTGGCAAATGAAGTACCCAGCACATGCTTCATACATCACCTGGAAATGTTCTATGGACCAGTTTGGGAACATTTGCATTAAACCTTCCCCCTGGCCAAGGGAATAGTTATTCTGCTACTGTATTTGAATCAGATACATTGTGAATCATTATTATGACCGATCCATGTTATAACACAGTTTTTTCTGGCTTGTATCAAAAGAAAAAAGCAATGTTAAAACACTATGTTATAACTGCATTAAGGAGCCATATATTCACACCCTTTACTTTATAATTGTTTGGAAAAATATGTTTGGCCCTCAACCTGAAGACAACGTGGTTGCATTTTGTAGTGTAGCTGTTGGATATGCATAAAACACTAGGTCTTTTCTGCATTACAAAATGGAATTGGTTGTTACATGACAAAACATGGTTTGCAGTGGTGGTTTAGCTGTGTTGGTCCCAGGATATTAGAGAGCCAAGGTGGGTGAGATAGTATCTTTTATTGGACCAACTTCTGTTGGTGAGAGAGACAAGCTTTCGAGCAATGAAGCGCTCTTCTTCAGGTGTGGGGAAGGTACTCAGAGTGTCACAGCTAAATACAAGGTGGAGCAGATTGTTTAGTATAAGCAGCTAACACATATTGTCAGAGACCATTCAAAGGGAAATGGCCTGTTAACAAATCTGCAATCATAGGACAAAAAAGGGGTGGTTAGATTATTGTAATAAGCCACAAATCCAGTGTTTTTATTGGGTTCATGATTTTTAGTGTCTTGCAAAGTTATGAATTTAAGCTACCAGGCTCATCTTTTGAACTTGTTGTGCAGGTTTTTTTTTTGTTTGTTTGTTTTTTTGAGGATGAGGACTGAGAGGTCAGCTATGGAGTGATGGTTTTGTGAAAAGTGTTCCCTCTTGGATGACTTATTTTTTATCTTTTATCATTTTTCTGTGCGAGTTCATTTGCGAGTGTAGTTATTGTCAGGTTTCACCTACATAGACATTTAGTGCACTGGATGAGCTACTCCACATGTTGTGATAGGCATCTTGAAAGATGTCCTGTGGGAGATATTGATCATCATGCCAGTGGAGATATGTCTTCCAGTTTTGCATCTGTTTTGGTAGGGTCTGGTGCTGCTTTCCGTTGGTCCTAGTCTGTGGGGAGGTTGCTTCTGATGATGAGCTTGGAAAGTTGAGGGGTTGTTTGAAGGCCAGAAGAGTGGGCTGGGGAAAATTTCTTTCAAGATGTGGTCCCTATTGAGTATAGGTTGTAACTGTTTAATGATACCCCATATGGGTTGCAGTGTGAGGTGCAGGTGACAACTAGGTTTGTGTAGTTGGAGTGGTTTCCCACTCTCCTCCCCCCCGACCCCCACATTGAAGCAGATTCTCTCTGGGTATTTGGGTGGTCCATTCCATGTTGGGATCTACTTCTCTGGTGGAATGTCCTTGTTCAACGAAGGCAGTTTTAAGTATGTTAAGGTGTATATCCTGGACTTTCTCCTTAGAGTAAGTATACTCTGTATTGCCTGGCTGTAAATAAAGGATTTCTTGGTGTGGTTACAGGATCTGTGAAGGTAAGTGTGGTGATCTGTGGGTTTATTTTATATAGTTCTCTGTAGAGTTCCATTGTTGAAGCTGATTTTGGTGGCCAGGAAGTTGATGCTGGTGCAGGAGTGTTCTAGAGAGAGTTTGATGGATGGGTAGTGGTTGTTTTTGAAGTTGTGGTGGAAATCTATAACAGATGGACCTACACTCTCTCCAGAAGATGAAAATATCATTGATGTATCTCAGGCATATCATTGATTTCGTGGTATATTTGGCCACAAATTCTTCCTCAAAGTGGTCCATGAAGAGAATGACATATTGGGGAGCCATCCTAGTATCCATGTCTGTTCCCATGGTTTGGACAAAGTGTTGCTGAACGTGAAATTGTTATGGGTGAGGATGAAATGGATGAGTTTGGTGGTGTGTTTGGAGTGGTTATCTGAGTGTTGTCCATTGTCTTGTAGATATTTGAGGCAGGCAGCAATGCTATCATTGTGAGGGATGTTGGTGTGACATCCATGGTGCAAGGATGATGATTTGGGGGAAATTATTAATGTTGTGGAGTTTCCGCAGGAAGTCAGTTGGGCCCTGGAGGAAGCTGGCCTTTTGTGCGGTGAGTGGTTTGAGGATGGTTTCTGAGTCCTGATCATCTGCCAATAAAAGTGCCATGGCCAGATAAGATGGATCTGCATAGGTTCCCTTGTTGGTGTATCTTGGGAAGCATGTGGAGGGTGCCTCATGTGACTTAATGGGAAATGAAGTTGTAGAGTTTCTCTTGGAGTTGTTTATGGAAGGATTTGGTGATGTTTGTTTGTTTATTTATTTATATGCTTAAGTACCTGTGCGAATTGTGATATGGGGTCATCTTTGACTTCTTCATAATAGGTGGTGTCGGAGAGTTGTTGTTTGGCCTTGTTAATGTAGTCATCGCGGTTGAGAACTGCGATGTCTCCCCTTTGTCTGCTGGTTTGATTACTGTTTGATGATTTCAGGGACTGTGTAGTTGTCCTCTCAGCGGTAGAGAGATTGTGGTAGATGTGATGTTTACGGATTTCACAATCAATTTTCCTAAAGCAATCAATGTAATGATAAAGTGTGTGATTTTATCACTGTGGGGTATCCAGTCAGATAATTCTTTTTTCTTATGACTATTGGTGGAGATGTGTTAGTTGTGGGCTGTGTCTTTGTTGTGAAATAATTCTTTGAGGATGGGTCTGCGAAAGAATTCTAATTCTCCATGTTAGTAAGGTATCAGTTTCTGTGATGGGGCAGAAGTTCAGTTCCTTGGAGACTAAAGATAATTCAGCTCCGATTAGGGCTGGTCTTGATAAATAATGATGATGGGGTGTTGTGTAGTGTCTATATGGTGAGTTCTGGTGCCACGGTTTCTCCTGGAGTTGGGGTTGTGGAGTTGTTGTAGTTGGTTTTGCTTTTTGTTTTTGTGTTGGATGGCTGTCATCAGGTTTTTTGATAGATGTTTTAGTTGTTTTGCATAATCCCCAGGTAGTTGTCCTGTTGTTTTTTTTCCTTCCAGTGTATGGGAGTATGTGATGATTTCTTGTTTGAGATGGTCTCCTTTGGAGTATGTAAGGTACAAGAGATGGTTCCTAAGCTTTTCTGAAGTCCTTCTGCAGAGCTGTTCAGTGTATTTGGAGTTGTATGTAGTGGTCAGATTGTTATTGATGATGTTTTGTTTCTTGCATTTGCCCAGGAAATAGATGTCGCTGTTAAGTTTTGCTTCCTTTTTCTTTGTGTTGTGGAATTTCCATTTCAGATGGCAAAATTTGATATCGATCATGTACCAGAATTTGATACCTATATAGCAGCCATGTTGAAATTGTAGTGTGTAGATGAAGCCTTACCCTAGATACCAGGTTTGAAACATTGTTCCCTAATATAGGTATACAGTCTATTTTTGTCCAC